TTTGTTTTGATATTTTAAAATAGTTTCAAAATAGATGAATAGTAATTTTATTAGAACTATATTATAATTAATAATCTGAATACATTACTTTAATTGAAAAATAACAATTCTTTTATTAAAGTAAGTTTTATTAAATTATTCGATTATTTTTTTATATTTTTATTGCTATATAAAATAGAAGAATGATTAAATAACAAGCAAAATCTGTATTTCTTAAAACGAATGTTAATCATGTATTTTCAATGTATTAACGTTCTTTATTTTCAATCTTAACATTAAAATTTTTTTTTAAATATTTTCAATATTTGCATATTAGTTAAACCATTTGCTTAAATTGACATATAAGATTCAAATGTATTATGAAAAGCAAGTTTCTATTTATTGATTCATATTTACAATTATCGTCTTAATTTAATTCTTAATTTCATTTATTTCATTCTTTTTTCATTTTATTTCTCTCCGTTATTTTCTATATTATTATTTTTATATTACGTATAGTTTTATTATGCAGAGCTTTGTAAGATACCTATAAATACCTATATAGTATCTCAAATATAAAAGTCCATTAACATATTTAGTGAATAAAAATAAGAAAAAAAATGTTACAATAAAAAATTTTTTCTTATATAAAAATTATAAAATACAAAATATGATAATAGATTTGTTGTTTGATATAGGATAGAAATACATTGTCAATATATTTACGTAAACATTATATTTACTTGTTTAAATCATTAAATAATTAATATGGTTTATATTGAAACTATATCTATACAATAATAAAAAAAAATTGATTTATATATATTATATAATATTAAACAAGAAATTAATTCATTATTATTTTCTTTTTGTTAAAACATTCTAATATAATAATTAATATTTTTTTATAATTTTAATACAATAATTGTTTTTGTTTTTCTTTCTTTTTTATTTTTATTTTTACTCATAGAATATGATGAAACTTTTTTGTTAACTTTAAAAAAAATTAAAAAAATATATCTTATTAATAAAATTTATAATAAAATATTTGAAACAATAAATACTTTTAAAAAATATGATTTAAAGATAAAATTTTAAGTTTGCTCTTCTGCATATTTCTCTTAACATTTAAAAATATTTTTATATTTTTTAATTTTCTAAAAAATTTGCATGAACAATAAACTTAGTTCAATTTCAATATATTTTTAAAACAAATGTCAATTTCTTTCAACATTTAAATTAGATATAAAAACATTAAAGGAAGAAGTTCAAAGATACCGTTGAATCTCCTGCGATTGTTGGAATCTCGTCTGCCGATGCTATGACAAGTATGCATATTTTAGAAATATTTGAAAGAAAAGTTGGCCTTAAGAAAGTGTTACATTATATAAATAAATATACGAATGCATGACAAACATTCGATTACTTGTATTGCGTATTCGATATTGTAAATTTTATGATTAATTTTCTTTCTAAAATTATTTTTTATAATTACTATATTTTATACTTTTGTTTCATGTTTAAAAAATCAAATTATATTTATTTCTTTCAAATCAATTAAGATTAAATAAAACTAGAGATGAATGGAAATATATTTTTTAGATTTGTAAAATTCGAATTTGAAATTTTATAAGATTTCGAAATTTTCAAAACTTTCAGAAATTAGAACATTTACTTTTCTTTTAGAATAGAAAATAGAAAATCTATTTATTTAGTAATTAATATAATAAATCATCTATCTCTTTAATTTTAATTTCTAAAATTCTATAAATTAAAGAAGAAAATAATAGTAAATAAAATAAATATATATTATAAATAAATATAAATGAATAGTATTAATAGTCATTTTTTTGGTAAAGAAATTTTCTAAGTAAAAATTAAATTAATATCTTTTTTTTTAAATTTTGATAATTTCCAATTACAAAATTAGCAAAAAACTTTGAAGTTTGAAAAATTGAAATTTTATATTAATTATAATATTAATATAAAAATAAATATTAATATAATATTAATACAATATATTCTATTAAAAATTACTGAATTATTTTAATTTTGTTTATATTTGCTAAATATTATTAAATATTAAATATTAATAATAAATATTTTAAAAATTATTTAATTTATTCTTTTATATATGTTGAAAAGTCATGGCATTTAATTTATAAGATTTTAATTATAGATTTTTATAATAAAATTATGGATTTATAGTTAATAAATTGATAATAATTAATATTAAGTAATGATATTAATAATGATGAACTAAGTTAGATTTAAGATTTTTTAAAATTTATATATAAAGATGAAAATTTTAAAAGCTAAATTTACAAAAAATTTATTTATAAGAAATCTATTGATGAAACGAAATCTATAAATGGAATATATAAAAACTTCTAAATCTCAAAACTCTTCAAAATTAAAAAATATCAAGTTTTCAAATGTCGAAACTTTTCATTATTTTCATAATTTGAAAAATTTAAATCTGAAAGAATAATTAAGATACAAAAATGTTGTACGATATTTATTATTTTTATTTATTTTTATTAATATATTAATAAAAATAATTTATATTAATATATATTATAAAAATAATTTTTATTAATATAATTAAAATAAGCTATTTGAATTTATGTTCATATAAAATTTTATCTTAATTGATATGATTTTATTAACTTATTAAGATTATACTTTTATATAGAAAACAAAAAAATAAAATAAAATATAAAAATAGAAATTAAAAGTAACTTTTATAAATGAAAACTAACAAATATTATTTATTGATCGATTTTCAATATAAGTTTGAAAAATTTAAAAAATCAGAATTCTAAAATTCATTATTATAATTAAAATTTTAATTCTTAACATTTTAAGAAAAAAAATTTTTGAGAATTTTAAATTATTATAAATAAGATAATAAGGTCTTAAAGTTTATTTCATAATATTTGAATTTATAATATAATATTTTATAACATTAAAAATGGAGTGAAAATGATCCGACACCGTCTGATATTTAAACAACATAATTGACTAATCTCGTGTGATTTTACGAATAAATTTGTAAGCGATTACCAGTGTTCAGAGACTGATGATTGTAGTACGATAAAATCAATGATATTTCTTAGCTGTTCAAATTGAATCGCCCATATATATCGTATCGTATGTATGTATATCGTATTTCGATTCGTTCGATTCATAATAACTGCATCCGAATTTCCTCTCGAAATAAAAAAGATAATTTATCTTAATCTTGATCTTTGAAGATCGGAGAAATGGATGGAAAGTCAAACGCATCGCCGTGGAATGAAAGGATTCGAGAATTGCTTTAATAAGACCCTGGGAGTCTGCTGACACGGCGTAGGAATGCGACAAAAACGGTAATCGAATAAGTGGCAGAAAAAGGAGAAGGGAGGCAAAAGAAAGATTTTGGAAACGAAAAATCATAAAGAAGAACGAAATTGGGTGGCAAAGAAGTGAAGGTCGGCCCTACCTCGACGTGCACACTGTTTTAATGGGGGTAGAGAGATACACGGTCATTGAGAATCTGGGCACAATGCCGTAGTACTTTCTTGGAGCATAAAGTCCTTCTATAAAGCTCAAGAAGAAGAAAAAGAAGAAGAAGAAGAAGAAAAAGAAAAAGAAGAAGAAGAAAAAGAAAAAGAAGAAGAAGGCGACGGTATGGCAAGTAACGCGCAGGGAAGCCTTTTCGAGGAGAAAAGGAGAGCCGAGTAACAAGGTAGAACGTTGTTGCGACGACAACGACGACAACAAAAAGGACGAAAAGGAAGGATCAATCGAACGCGACTAACGTGGCAGAAGGGAAAGGAAGAATCTTCTACGTAAAAGGAAGAGAGACAAGGAGGTTGCTCGTGGCAAAGAAGCCGAAGAAACGGAAAGATTCAAAAGAGAAGATAAGCTGCAGCGATCAAACTGAATCGAACGAGGAGAAAGCTCTGAAAAGAGCTCTCATCCTCTCCCTTCTCATCCACTCTCTATCGATCTCTGTCCCTTCAGTTCTATCTCTATTTACCGCAGTACACCTGTCTTCGTTCGCCTCGCGCACGCCCCGCCCCGACCAATGGAGCGTTGAGGGGCCCGGTGAGGTCACCGTACAGCGCAGTAGAAGGGCCTGAAATAGTGGGGAACAGGATCGTCCACCACCACGTCTCGGAGGCCGTGAAAGCCCCACGGGGGCCAGCAGCTAGCTGGAATCAGCGGCAGCGGCCTGACCGGCCGTTGGCCGGGTTGGTGGGGGCAGGAAGAGGGGCACCCTGATGCCCACGAGACCAGGGCGAAGGAAGAACGCAAGGTACTCACCGAAACTCATCCCGCATTTCCCACCACCGGCTCGTCCGGAAAACGTGCGCCACAGAGCTTCCGGACTGGTGCTTGAATATCGAGTTCGGTCAAGTGAGTCGGATTAATTCTGGTGTATACATCTGCGCAAAGCGATAATAATCGTAATACTCGAATTATACAATTCCACAATTTTACTGTCACCGTTATTATCGTCATTGATTGGATTGATTGCGTGCAGTTTCGATCCTGGAAAACGGACGATTTTCGATTTTCGATGTTGAAATATTACAGTGATGGTTCCTATAGGTTTATAACATATAATAAAAACGATTCAGGCAGATAAACAATAAAGAAACGTTCTATTTTCGATCTCGCGAGACGTTTGAAACTTATATTATTATTGTTATTATTATTGTTGATAACAAAATTGCGGATACGCGATTATCAAAAGAAGGAAAGGATAAAAAGAAAAAAGAAAGCGGAACAGTGAGAGAGAATCTCTCTCCAAAGGAGACTCTTGTTAAAAGTGACAAACAGTTTCCGGTGTCGGATCAATTTTACTACCATTCGATTAAAAATTTTTCGGATTGTTTTGAATCTTGTGGGTGATTAGACGCAGCTACGACGGTCACAACGGTGATAAGAGTGCGTGCAGGGGGGGTGTGTGATGCCCTGGTTATGCGTGAGTGAGGTCAGTGGCAAGAGGAGGAAAAGAAGGACCGGCAGCTCTTCGTCAAACCTGTCGTTTTCACCGTCATTATTTAGTTGTGGAGGAGGAGGATTGCCGGCGGCAGTGGTGGTGAGAACTCGGTGGTATCCATCCAAGTGTCCGTGAAAGAGGTGCACGAGGAAGCAGTGACCGAACAGGGTCGTCCTCGAGGCAGAGCCACGTGATTATGGTGCACCATCATCATTGTCGTCGCGGCCTTCAGGCGAGCCATCACTGCGCAGTTAGGAGGCGAGGCGCGACACCCTCGTTGCTTCAAGTGTTCCTATTAATACTTGGCCTCTGGCTACCGATATTGGACAACGGTGCCTTCGTTTTGGCTTGTGGACCAGGCAGAGGTGGAGGACGACGTCCAGGTCTGAGAAAACTTACGCCTCTGGTGTTTAAGCAACATGTGCCCAACGTTAGCGAAAACACGCTGCCGGCTAGCGGGCTCAGCGAGGGTCGTGTTTCCAGGCACGATTCCAGGTTCAGAGATCTCGTGCCTAATTACAACGCCGACATCATCTTTAAGGACGAGGAGGGTACCGGAGCGGATCGACTGATGACACAGGTGAACAAACATCCAAACATTGATTAATATGCTTATTTGTCACGCGTGCTTCTTGTAGTTTTACGTTTTACATAGTTTCGAAAAGTTACACCTTTTGCTCGAGTATATTGTTACGTGTTTGAAAGGCAAAATTCATGAAACGCGGTGAATAACCGTGTTTTTATCTAACGGTTAATCAGTATCATCTATGGTTCATTGGAGCTTAGAGAGCTTCTTTCCAGAATCAACTCTGATTGTACAAATACGTACGTTGTTGTTTGTTGAGTTATCTGTGACAAATATTGATATCAGTGAGTGTTTTCGAGAAAATAATTAAACTATCATATAAAATATTCATGGCTGAAATCTGTTTCCTTGTTAGACATTTAAAAAAATTATTTTCTATTTTTATACTTATCATTTATATAAATTATAGAACAATATTCGAAATTAATAATTGAAATTGTTCTGTTAGATAGTAATAAAATAACGTCAATTTAAAATTTGAAGTTTATAGATTATAATTAGTATTTTATGAGGCATTTTATAATAAAATAAATTCTTAAATTTTATTGAAAGGAATTGTGAATTGACATTGAATTTTATTATGATTTTTAATATGAGTTTAAATTTCGTTGTATTATAATAAAAGGTATCCGTACAATTTGCCTTCGTTCTAAAAAATAAAAATAACTATAATATTCGTTTACGATTGTTAAAGAATAATTATCAACAATCTAATAATAATAAGTGCATATTAATGTGTATTAAAATTTAAAAAAAATTTAGAGAAATATATATATATTCTTTTGTTTGTTATATATTTTATTGTTAAATTTTCACAAATATTAGAAATTAATTATGAACAATATTTAATAGATGTATCTATTAAGATTTAATAGATAAATACATATTAAATAATAATTCATTAAAAATTTGAAAAACATAAAAAGAATATTTTCTTCTAAAATTGATTTATTTCAAAATATAATTAAATCCATTCACTTAATTTTGTTTGTTTAACAAGAAGCATTCTTAAAAGATCATTTATTTTTTTCATTTTTACTTGATTCACTTTTAATTTAAGATCTGATTCACACAACATTTAGAATAAAATTATCGTTCTCATGTATTAGACAATCAATTAATATTTTAAAAATTAGAAAACGCACAAAAATCAAATTATTATATTTCTGAATTTTAAATTAAACTTCAATTTTTTTAAAATATTGAAAATATTTGCTGAAAATATCATTCAAATAAAACAATATAATTTATCCATTTTCATTATAGAAAGTGCTAGAAAATAGTAATCCAAGATTAATAAAATAAAAATAAAAATTTTTATTTAAATAGTTTTATATAAAATTTAATAAAATAAAAATTTGCATTATGATATAAAAACTTAATACTGAATATTAAAAATATCAAATTTCTATGTAAAATTAAAAATAAAATAAATAAAATTTCAATATAATATCAACATAATGTTCAATATAGTATCTGATAAATGTGACAAAATTTTTACATTTCGATTATTATTTTTTTTATTTTTCCACAAAGAAATAATTACTCGATATAAAATAAATGTTATCAAGTTATTATTATCAAGTCATTAATATTAAATTAAATGGTCGTCTATTATGGTTTCTATCTGACGCACCGTGGATTCGATTTTGTCAGTTAAGCGTGCATTATTGTATTTCACGATTACTTTTTACTTAACGAAAGAAACGAACCGCAAACTCCGGTGATAACTCGATAACCGACTCGGGATTTGCCATTTCTCGTTGAGGGTGTATTTGCCGATAATATGTGTCGTATATCAGGCCACGATAAAGATTGTCGTCCTTGAAGGAGTCCGTCGGTGAATCATCGCAACGAGCTATTTCAGCTTTGGTATCATCGATTCCCATTGATCTGATGATTTCGTTGCGTTTTGACGATAAAGATGAGCGCTTCTTTTAAACTCGCACAGTTTCTCCACATACTGACTCATATTAATATTTAGACAACACATTGTGTAAAAAATTACTGTCCTATATATTTATATAATTTTTTTTTATTTTTCTTTTATTCTTATAATTTATTATTTTATAGTGTTATAGTATTATTTTATAATAGTTTAATCAAATTGATTGGTTTTTTTTACTATATTTTTTTACTATATTGAAATATAATTAATACAAATAAATTTTATTTATTTAATGTATAATAAGCAATAAATTAAATAATGGCGGAAATAGACATCGCAATGTTGAAATAGTGGAATTGAAGCAATTAAATCGACTCAATACAATAGATTAGATATATTCAGTGAAGTGTTTGAATATTTTTGCGTTTTTGCCATTAATTAGTTTAATGTCTAAGACTATGTGTATTAAATAAATAAAATTTATGTTTTTATTAAATATAATGAGTGTTTTAATATGAAAAAATACCTGTTTGGATACCATATGCAAGAAATTATTGTTCCATATATTGCCTTGTAATAATATTGTTGATAAACTGCGGATTTTTATGTAAATATATATTCTTTTTCATATTAATTTTACTTGCATGATATTTAAATATTATATTTAATATATATAATTAATGTATTATAAATAAATTAATGAATATTATATTTAATATATTTAATATATTTATAATACATTTAATTATATATTTACAATGTTGGAAAATAAACAAATTCTAAATTTTGTAGACGAAGTTCACTATGACTATATTATATTATATTTTGTAATAAACAATTATTTAAGTAATAACAATGTATCAGAAAGCCATGAAAAAATTATTTTTATATAATGTTATTTTTGTAAATTTTATGATAAGTAAATATACATAATAAAATTAATGATATTTTGTAAATATTACATAGGTTGGCATATATAATAAATAAATAATTTTAAATAATATAAATAAATGACATATTTTATACATATTTGATTTATCTATATAATTTAGTTTATCTATATATAAAAATCTGCTTCAATCTGCTATTGAAGTGATTGTTTTTTAATGTATTAAAACACAAATTTTATTAGAAATATAAATTATACTTTTTTTTTACTATTTCATAGATTACAATCCAAATATGATTTGATGTTTTCTTTCTCTTTCTGTTATTAATTATAAAATTTATTTCTTTTAAATCAAGGCTATCTTTAATGTAGTTTTGGTATATTACAGTCATACTTTTATGGAATCTATTTCTATTTTTGAGTTTCAAATTTTTTGTACTCATAAGAGCAAAATTTGTTGATATTAGTTAGTTATAATAGTTAAAGATTTGGAAATTGATTTTGATTTGATTGATATTTTATTTATTTAATGCAAAATAAGTGATAAATTAAATAATAACGAAATCGCAATCATTAATATCGCAGATTATATGAATTTTATATTAATAAATATTGTACGATAATAGATAAAATCAATTAAATAAATAAAAATTTATTACATCCAATATATACAAATATTTTTATTGAATTTCGTGTTTCATTAATTAATTATTATTTTGTTAAAGGGATTAGAAGTTTCAATTTTTTTTGTAGAAATATTTTCTATGTAGATTTTTAATTTTTTAATTCTTATCATTATAATATTTTACCAATTACAAATCTTCTTCTATAATCATATATGATAAATTTATTATTTTTTTTTTGAAAATAAACATATAAATGTTCTCAATAAAATGTGAATTAATTTTATAAAATGATAATTTTCTTTATTTCTTCATCCAAATTTATATATAGCAAAAAATATCATTTAAACAAAATTAAATTATTATGTTATTAATTAAATTATTAAACTAAAAAATTTATAAATTAAAATAATACTAATGTTTAATGATTTATAATATCTCAAAAAATTTTTTTTCTAAATTTAAATTTGAACAATTTAAATATTATGACAACTTTTGTTCATTATAAAAATTACAAACAAGAATTTTGTTTGTACGTTTTCCTTCATTCTAATAGGAAAGTTTCGTTCGTTTCCTAGAGAATTTTAGAAAGAAGAAGTTGCAGTCAGTGACCTTTACGTTTCGATTCCGATAATAGTTAGCTGATTCACGCGAGAATAGTTTACGTGTTTCGCTTTGAGAAATTTGGTTATTCAAAGGAATGATATATGGCAGCTTGGTTCAGATCATTGGGAGAATATAATGCCTCTTAAGAACGTAACAATGAATTTCCGAATAAATATCATGGCTCAAAAATCGGAGATCGAGTGATGATTGCGTTTTATCGTTAATGTTTTATCGTTAAGAGATTACATTCTTTTTTTTGGAATTGATTGGTATGCTAATATATGATAAAACAATAAAAATAATTGATCTTCTAATTTCGTTATGCAACATTACATTTGTTTTAAAATAATTTTATATTTTTTCATGATTTTCATTGGCAACATAATTGATTAAAAGTTAAATGAAGTACTAATTAATTTCGATTACATTACGGTTTAGAATTTATTTTAAATATAAATTAAGAAATTTTATGTGAAATTTGTTATCTAAAATTATTCATGAAAAAACAAGGAATTTTTTTGACCGAAGGTATAAATTATTAATTTTGCTTTTTTTTATCGCTTTGAAAATAGATATTCAGATTTTAGTCATATTTCATGATTTTAATAAAAAGATATAGTATATTATTTGAGCATTGTATAAATTTGAGCTTTATATATATAATGTATTAATAGGAGGGATTAATGATGAAAGATTATTTTTTGAAAAATAAAAAATTATAATTCTTTGTTTTGCAATAAAAAACAATTATAAATCAAAATTTTTCTGAAAAAAAAGAAAATACGAAATAATAAATTGAATAAATTATATTCTAATTTTTTTTTTAATTTGGTAAAAAAAGGATCCTATAAATATATATAGAAATATAATATGACGATTTTAAATATATATGATTAATTAATAAATGATTAATTAAATTGAATTTATCAAAAAAAAAAAAAATTAAAAATTTAGTGACTCTTTTTCTAAGAAAAACTTTTCAATTACA